GCACTGTCGGAGGGTCGGTGCTGAGGGGGCGCCGCACTGTCGGAGGGGCGGTGCTGAGGGGGCGCCGCACTGTCAAGAGTGGCAATACTGAGGGAGCGCCGCACTGTCAAGAGTGGCAATACTGAGGGAGCGCCGCACTGTCAAGTGTGGCAATACTGAGGGAATGCTCCACTGTCAGAGGGGCATACAGTCATACAGCAATTCGGTCCAATTAGTCTTCACCAGCCATGTTCCCAAACTGAACTCGTCCCGCTTGCCTGTACCTGGCCCCTATCCCTCCAGACCTTTCTTATTCATGTACTTATCCCAATGTCTTTTAAATGTTGTAACCATACACACATCCACCACACCCTCTGGCAGTTCTTTCCACACATGAACCACTCACTATTTAAAGCAGTTGCTCCTCAAGTCTTTTTTAAAATCTCCTCTCACCTTAAAAATATGCCCCTTTGAGCTCCCCCACCCCAGGCAAAACACACTTGCTGTTCACCTTATCTATGGCCCTCCTGATTTTATAAACCTCCTAAGGTCACTCCTCAACCTCCTACGCTCCAGTGGAAAAAGAATCCAGCCTTGCCAGCCTATTTTTATAACTCAAACCCTCCATTCCCGGCAATATTCTGGTTAATCTTTTCAGAACTCTCTCCAATTTAATAATATCCAATTTAATATATGCGATCAGAACTGCACACAGTACTCTAGAATAGACCTCACCAAATCCTGTACAACCTCAATATGATGTCCCAACTCCGGTACTTTGAGCATGTGCTAAATACCTTCTGAACCACTGTCTAACTGTGATGCAAATTTCAAAGAACTGTGTACCTGAATCCCTCGGCGTCTCTGTTTAACAACAGTATCCAGGGCCCAGTGCTGAATGTGTATTTCACTGTCAGAGGTGTAATACAGAGGAAGTGCTGCATTGTCAGGTCAGTACTGAGGGAGTATTGCCCTGCCAGAGGGTCAATGCTGAGCAAAAGCTGCACTGTTGGAGGGTCAGTGCTGAGGGAGAGCTGCACTGTCGGAGGTTCAGTTTTGAGGGAACACTGCACTATCGGAGGGTCACTACTGAGGGAGAGCTACATTGTTGGAGAGTCTGTGCTAAAGGAGAGCTTAACTGCCGCAGAGTCAGCACTGAGGGAGATCTGCACAGTTGGAGGGCCAGTGCTGATGCTGCAGCAATCTGACAGAACACTATTAAAGTGATGCTGTACTGTAAGAGTGATGGTACTTAGAGGATGCTGTATCAAAGATCAATGCTGTGTGAGCTCCACACTAATGGTCATTCAACATGAGGGAGATGGGATGATGATAAGTTAACTTATTTGGAGCCCAAAACTCAGGGTCATGAATATATGATAGTTGTTAATATGAGACCATTATGAGATAAATCCAATAGTGCATTCAGAAGCAATTTCACTGAATGATTAGCGTATAGAAATTACAGTAACAAGTACATAAATTATGTATTGACGGACAGAACAATTACACAACAGGGATGTTGTCCATGTGGATTCTTAGCTTTCTAATCGAAGCCAGTGCGTCACCTACAATGGCTTTTCTCCTGTTCCTATATCATTACCCCAGGTACCCTCCAAAGATCTAGCTTTTTAAATCGCATCTCTTCTCTATGCGTTTCCCCTTAGCCACATCAAGTGAAATCACGGTATCAGTTCTAATACGTATGCTGATGGATTGCTGTTTTGGAATTTGAACAAATATTTTGCCCCTGTCCTCAGGATACTGAGTAGAAGAATCTCAAATGCATCTCACTAAAAGGGGGCTAAAGATAGAAAGGAACTAAAAATAATTATCCAGAGGAAAAAGTAGAAGGAAAACTAATGGGACTAAAAGCTGACAGGTCATTGAACTTGATAGCCTACATCCAAGAGTATTATTAAATGGCTGCAGAGATGGTGGATATATTGTTTGTAATCTTCCAAAATTCACTGACTGTTATAAAATTCCCAGCAGATTGGAAAGCCACAAATTTCACTGGCGCTGTTTACAAAAAGAGGGAATTCTGTACCAGTTATCCCAACATCTGTTGTTGGGAAAATGCAAGAATCCATTAAGGAAGGAGGATTAGGACGTTTAGAAAATCATATTGCAGTCAATTCGATTTTGTGAAAGAGAAATGTTTGATTTGTTGATGTTCTTTGAGGTTGTGAATGGTTAAGGGAGAATCAGTAGATATAATGTGTTTGGATTCAGGACATAATTAGGAAGACAAATGGAATTTTAGCCTTTATTGCACAAGAGGATGGCATATAGCAGTCTGGGATTCTTCCTTCAGCCGCACAGGTCTTTGGCAAGAACACACCTTGATAATACCATGAAGTTTTGGTCTCTTTATTTAAGGATGGATATATACATTGGAAGCAGCTTAGAGAAACTTAATTTGGTTGATTCCTGAAATGGAAGTGTTGTGTTCAGAAAAGTTGGATATAATCATCTGTAATCATTGAAGTTTAGATGAAAATAATGAATTGGAAGATACTGAGAGGACTTGACAGGATAGATGCTCAGAAGATGTTTTGCTTCATTCACAATCCCAAAATATAGGGCCTTCCATATAAGAGGAAAATTAGAGGAATTTTTCCTTTGCGAGTTGTGAATACTTGGAGATTTCTATCCCAGAGAGGTGTGGAGGCTGAGTGATTGAATATACTCAAGGCTAAGACTGTCAGATTCTTGATCTCTGAGGAATTTAAGAATTATGGGGAACAGACTTAGGAAAATAGAATTAAGGCCAAGATCAGACCTGCAATAATCTTATTGAATGGCAGCAAAACACGCCTGAGGAGCTAAGTGGCTTCCACCTGGTTCTGTGAAAGCAGTGCTGGAGATACACTTCCAGTAATGCAGCATCTGTGGCAGAACTGAAGTCAGTGTTTCAAACTGTTTGTCTTTCTTAAACACTTCGAGTTATTGATTACTGTTTTTTCACTGACTGTTTCCAGTTTTCTCTATCAATTCAAATACCAGTCTCTTTCCACACAATGACATATATGTTTCTGGTTAGGTACAGCCGATTGTTGAAGGGTTGGATATTGCTGAGGTACAGTTTGTTTCCATGGCGTTTTTTTAAATGCATGAAGAATGGATTTCTCGAAGTTCCTGGACGACAATTTTGATGTCAAGGACTGGGTGAATGGGGCTTTTAAGACTGTTCAGGAGGAAGAACCCGGAAAGGTAGACAGTCATGCTGCCACACTGGTAATGAAACTGCAGTTGTTCATTCAGGAGGTGAACAATGCCATTGAAGGTATGTGTTACACTTTATCTGTGTATATAGAATTTACCTCGGAGTCTGTTGATATTTACAGAGTCCCTTGGAATGTTTAACTGTTTACAGGAAGTCCCTAAGAATCTTTTTTATTCATTCATGGAATGTGGACATTGCTGGCTGGGGCAGCATTTATTGCCCGTACCTAAATTTCCTTGAGAAGGTGGTGGTGAGCAGACTTCTTGAAACTCTGCAGTCCATTTGGTGTAGGTAGACCCACCATACTGTTAGGGAGGGAGTTCCAGGATTTTGACCCAGCAACACCGAAGGAATGGTGATGTATTTCCAAATAGGATGGTGAGTGAATGGGAGGAGAACTTGCTGATGATATTCCCATGTATCTGCTGCCCTTATAGTTGATGGTAGGGACTGTGGAAGATTCTTTCTAAGGAGCCTTGGTGGATCTGTCATTATTTATAAGGGGTTTCCCGGAGTGCAGTATTTGAATTGAATCATTTATTGTCACGTGTATTAAGTGTAAAAATACAGTGAAAATTGTGTACCTTTGCTGTACATATATGGTGCCATTAACATTAACTTAGTATAAGATAAGGAAAAAAAGACAACTTTCCTTTCCATTGCTGCAGTCCCACTCTGGGCTTTCCAGCTGTCTCTATGCCTTCGCCAGAGCTCTGCTCTGGGCTTTCCAGTCCATGCCACACCGCTGCCAATGTCGCGCTCTCAGCTGCCTCACCGGCCCCTGCTCCCGCCGTCACTGCCTCACCGGCCCCTGCTCCCGCCGTCACTGCCTCACCGGCCCCCGCTCTCGCCGTCACTGCCTCACAGGCCTGCCACATGGTTCCTGGTCGCGACATAGTTCCTTCCTGACTCCTTAGGTAGGTAGTTAAAAGGGTGGGATGGGGCATAGAACTACTACAGAGGGAGAGAGAAGAAGGGAAAAACAGGAAGGATTAAAAAAAAGAGAGTGAGAACTGGCGAGCAGACTAGAGCTCCGTATGGAGTGACTTACCCTGCCGCCATCTTGGCAGATGTGAGGATATCCTGGAGTGTGTCAGTGTTTTGCAGGGTGTCCCCAGGCATGTGTCAGTACTTGCAGGGGGTACCGTGCCATGTGTCAGTACATGCAGGGT